GAAGGGTGAGGGGCTCCGTGTTGCTAAGGAGATGCTAGTACTGGGCAGGTGAAGGGTGAGGCTGACGGGCATGGCCGATCTCCAGCCAGCGCCCATCTGGCCTAGCGACCCTGCGAATGCTATTCGTACATTGGTAGGAGTTGGATTTATTCATGTGGTAAGTAAATGGCATCGTGTTCCTGTTCTGTGAGGTGAGCTGAAAACTGAGCTGGGGTAGGGAGTGGAAAGGAGTGACAGCTCTCTCTCCTGCCTTCTGCACTCCTCCATAGCCCAGGAGGAGGAGAGGAAACAAGAGATTTTGCTCCCTGTTCTGCATTTTCTTCCTTTGGCTTCCAGTCTTCGTTGTTCTCACTCTTCCTGGACATGGCCAGCCCTCTGCCTCTGACTGCTTGGATGTGATCCCATTTCTGAAAAAAGACAAACATCTCCCCACCCCCATTCCCTCACCAGCCAGCCCTCTCCCTAGGAAGCAGTATTTGTCTGAGCCCCATCTCAATGGCCTTTCCCCTAGAAAACAGCTGGTGATTCACATCCTCTCTGCCCCTATTCAGCCCCGCCCTCTCCCTTCTGCTCTCAAGGCCAGCGGCACCCATTTCCACTCTGTGGACCCTTCTCTTTCCTCACCTCTGGCCCAGTGCTGGCCTGGCTTCCACTTTGGGTGACCTCCAGACATCTTCCCAGGGGCCTGAAGAACCTCTTTTTGCAGGAATCTGTGTCCCAAGTTACCTCTGCCAGGCTCCTAGGACTTATCCAGAAATCCTGGTTACTGGCCTTGACCCAGCAATGGAGTCTGGGTGCCCTGCCGCAGGCTCCTCTTCTGCTGTGAGGTGACATCGAGTCTGTCTAGCACAGTAGGCCTCCAGCTCTGGCCATGACAGGTGTCACCTCACCCCATCATCTTTTGTTTAGTCCATACCGCCTATCTTGTCTGCCCTGTATATTCCATCTGTGCTGTGGCAGCCCTGTAGGGGTGTGTGGTATAGAGTGACGGGACATTCATTTCTTTCAAAGTAGCTTTCCTACAGTGAGTGGCTGGAGGAAAAGCACCATTGAGAAGGATTTTAGCTTTTCAGTGGTTTATTTCTGTCTCTTGCTTTATTTTATGAAACTGGCCTTTTGCTTAAGCAGCTTTTTTGTAAGATTTGTTCTGTCAAAGAATATAGACAGACTTTATAGTTTGGTCATATTCTCTAGTTTACAAGAGGTGATTTCAGCTGTGGCCTGACTTCATCTTCACACAGCCTGGTGTGGACTGTGTGGCCCAAGAACTGGAGGAGTGCTCTGACAACTCTGTGCAGAGCTCCTTGGCCTCTGTGCCTCACTGCCTGTAGTCCTGGCTCTGTAGTCCTGGCTGTTTCCTGCTTTCTTGTGTCTTGCCCTCTGCCTGTTAGCACAGACTGCAGCCAGCCAGGAGAAAGCTGCTCTCAGGCTCAGCAGGTACCATGTGGCTTTCACTGTCTCCAAGGACCTTCTGATGACTATAGCCTTCCTCCCCTCTGCTCTGTGGGTTTCCATCCTGAGTGGATAGCATGGACTGCCAAGGTCCTGCCTTCTGTTTGGGGCTCCTGCTCACTTTTGACACAATTACTGAAAAATACTGGGGATCCCAGACATCCTCCTTGGCCCCATCCTAGCTTGCCAGCAATCATCTGCCTCTACCTGGTGACTCTGTGAGGCTCTCCTGTGACGGGAGGACTAGTAGGAAGAAGACAGTCCAGTCCAGACACAGGAATCTCACTAAGTCACAGCAGGAGCTGAAACTACCTCTCTCGGCTCCTTACAGTCTCAGTGTTGTGGTTGTCACCATGTGTAGCATTGTGGCACTATGTAGACTCCAAAGATCCCTTGGGTCTCTCAGTGGGTCTCTCTGCAGCAACTTTACTGTTTGTTTGTTTTGTTTCCTGACCCAGGATCTCACTGTCCAAGCTTAAGATCATCCTGCCTCAGCCCAGTATAGGTGTACCACCATTTCTGATGTCAGAAATACTGTTGATTATTTTTAAGTTTTATTTATTTAACATATATCTGCATGCACACCTACATACCAGAAAGGGGCATCAGATTTCATTTTGAGATGTTGTGAGCCATCATGTGGTTGCTGGAAATTGAACTCAGGACCTCGGGAAGGGCAGCCAGTGCTCTTAGCTGCTGAGCCATCTCTCCAGCCCAGAAATATTATATTGTTGATAAGCTTATTAGAGACCACAGTGAAACCCAGATGGGTCAGGCCTATTGCTGCCAGTTGCAAGCAGAGTGCGTATCCAGAAGAGTTACTTAGATAAAGGAACCAGGTTAGGTGCTATCATGGATTTTCTTTCCACTAAATATATGTTTTAACCAGAGACCTCAAACCTGAGAAAGAAAGAACCCCTCCCCAACCCCTCTCTTTTAGAATTCATAATAGATGAGTAGGCCTTCGTTGCCAACTGTAAAACAGGTAAAAACCTTGATGGCAAAAGACAGAAGCATGCCCAGAAGTTGTCATGCATCCACACTAGCCTGTCTGTCCAGTTTGAGACTAAACTCTGTTCTGTGGAAGTCACAGTTCCAAAGTCTAATAAATTCCTACAGCAACAACAGCACGAATTATCCCAGAGTGTGTGCCTCTGATATTATCAAGGTCTCAACAAGAACTTGCTTTTGTTTAGTCATTCTAAATACACGTGGGTAGTGCTTAGTGTCCGTTGTCAACTTGACACAATCTGTAATCACCTGGGAGACAGCCGGCCTCTAGGCATGCCTGTGGGGAATTATCTTTATTATGGTTACAGTATGGAAAGACCGAGCTGTCTACACTGTGAACAAGAATGTTCTCTGGGCTGGAGACCCTAAACTGTGAAATGCAGATGATGAGCTAGACACTACCATGTGTGCGCTCACTAGAATGTGTGTACTACACACTAACATGGATGCACACACTAGCATGCACACACTCACTTCCATGCACACACTCACTGCTCTTCTGACTTTGGACATAACGAGGGCAGCTGCTTCCAGCCCCTGCTGCCTTGACTTCCCTCCCATGATGGAGCATACCTCAACTATGAGGTAAAATAAGTCCTTTCTCTCAATTTGCTTTTGTCAGAGGATTGTATCACAGCAACAGCAGAAGACACTAAGTTGCCGGTAACCTCACAGGAGTGGAGCATAGCCTGAGTGCAGAGATGCGTGAAGCAGGGTGCACTTCCATCCCTTCACAGACACTCACGTCTTCCTGAAACCTCTCGCTCACTTGTCAGTCAGTGGTACACCAGCCACTGGGTAGTAGCCATCTCTAGCACCTCGAAAGTATTCAGTGTCAAGACTCCCACAATATTCAGGCTTAAGCTGCCGCACTGAAATCCTGTGAAAACCTGTAGCAGGTTGTCATAGATGATCGCATGCCGAGCCCCAAGAGCAGGTCCCAGCAGTCACTGCTCACTCTGGTGCTTCTGGAAACTGAGGCACTTAGAAACAGCTCAGATGCTGTCACTGGCTGCAATCACAAAGGGTCATCTTGAGCACCTAGATATGCTGTGCACTTTAGGAGGCACAGTTTAGTGGAAGGGCACACAGCCCAAAGGGGGACATCTGGTGTCTGGGTCTGTCACTTTCTACCTCATGCCTTTGAGACAAGGTCTCTCGCTGAATGAAGCTGGAACTAGGCTGGTGGCCAGCAAGCCCCTGCAACCGTACCATCTCCAGCCACCCACAGTGCTGCAGTTACAGGCATGGCTGTGACCATGCCCAGCTTTTTATGTGGATTCTGGGGTTTGAACTCAGTTTGCTGTGATTTGTACAGCAAATGCTCTTATGCTCTGAGCCGACGCCCCAGTCTATAGGAGCTTCTTTGTGCCCTTCTGACAGTTTCCATTTAATAATCTCTTTTGGTATATGAAAGTAGCCTCTCCTTAACAGAGATCAAAAGGACCTGTAGTTCTCTACCTCTGTGGTAAATTATAAAGTGTATTTTACTATAGAAAGAAGTCCGCTTATTCTAATGGATTTACCAAGGATTCCTCAGTTTCTACTTACCATTCTCTGACAAGGGTCTTTCAGATCCAGTGCTATATATACCTAGTGGTTATTCTGCCTGGCTTGTTGCAGGAGAGACTTGGCCCTGGACTTTCATTTTGCCATTTCTGAAGTCTAGGCCAACATAGCAAACAGCTGGCAGTGTTTGTCTGTAGTCACCTAGCTTTGTGTGAGCGTTGGCTGACATTGCTATACATCACACAAGGCTCAGGCCCTCCTTCAGTGGAGTCTTCCATAAGGCCTTCTGTTCTCCCTCCTTCCTGGTGCTGGCGTAATGCCATCTGACCACCTTCTGACCGTGGCTGGAGGGCTGCCACACTCTGGCTTCATGAGAGTGAGTTGTCCAGGAAACGTTCTTAATCCAAGAGGTCCATTCTCTCCCCAGTAGCCTGCCTTGCCCTCCTTTCTGGATTTGTAGTGGATAAGTTGTGTTGGCCTAGAACAAATGTTTCCTAACTGAGGAGGTCAGGATCCCTTTCTCTTAAAATCAAATAGCCCAAAGAGCTTTGACTTATATGGAAAATGTTGGATTAATTACTGCATTAGAAATTAAAGCTGACGAGGTTAAAAATACTTACATTTTTATTTTAAAATGACTATAATAAACTCATCATATAAACATATAGTGAAAAACAACCATTTTCCAAAAGAAAATCAGTGACTATGACATTATGTTGTATTCTTTAAATATCTTTCATAGCTTATTAAATAAATCATTTGGATTATCATATTATCTTTATCTAGTATTGTTATAGTTATATTCTTTGAAGTAAACAAAGAAAAGGCTGACTTTATATAGATCTGTAGTTATAAAAAGAAAGGTTTTAAGGCTCAGCACTTAAAGAGGACAGGCTGTTTTTCCAGAGGACCTAGGTTCAATTCCTAGCACCTACATGGCAGCTCACAACTGTTTGTAACTCCAGTTTCAGGTGATCCGACACCCTCATACATACATACATACATACATACATACAGGCAGAATACCAATGCACATGAAGTTGGGGGTGTGAGAAAGGTAGACCTGTGAACCTATGAACTCTAAACAAGCTTCCCAGAGCTGGAGACCCCCTGGCTGTAGCAGAAGCACAGAGCTAGAAAAATGACAGGCAGTGGGAAGGGAGAATGCCCGCTTGCCTCCAAGCCTGGCAACCTGAGTTTGGTGCCAGAACCTGCAAGGCTGAGAGAGAACTGACTCTTCCATTTGGTCTGACTGTCACATGTGAGATGTGCATACCTTTAACTCAACCATGAAATAAATAGATAAATAATTTAGAGGGGAGGGGAGGGGAGGGGAGGGGAGGGGAGGGGAGAGGAGAGGAAGGGAGAGGAGAGGAGAGGAGGAATCCGTGCTGGGAAGAACTGTCCCATGTACGTGGGACCTGGTGAGGGAATGGGTACAGAGTGAGGGGGTGCTACCTATTCTTTCTATCCTAGGAAAGTGACTCTCTTTGCCTATTCAATACAGTCAGAAGCCGAAAGTGGCTGTTGAGTCCTCGAAATGTAATGAACCCAAATTGAGGTGTGCTGTCACTCAAAAGAACCCACTGGAATTCAATGACAGAGAAGAGAAGGCATAAGGCCTTGATGTTTTTGTGTTGGTAATATGTTGAGATGATAATATTGTTTGTGTTGGGTTAAACATCTTATTCAAATTAATTCCACCTGTAAGTTTAAAATTATTGTGTGTGTACGCAATATGGACTTGTGAGTATGCATGCCATGTGCATGTGTGGAGATCTGAGACAGCTTTGCTGAGTCGGTTGTCTTCGTCCACCAGTGCATAGGTTACGGGGATTGAACTCAGTCTACCAGGCTTACATACAGGTGCCTTAACCCATTGAGCCATCTCCTTGGCACCACCTGTAACTGTGTTAGAGTCCCTCTATATCTTGCATCATAGTCACATGTACCTGTTACTCAGAGCTGAACAAAGATACCTTGCCTATTCTGCTCATGTACACAAATTCAGTGCTATACGTAGCCACTCAAGGGCTGATCCCAGGAATCTTCACTTAGTCCTCCACCTAGCCTAGGGGACAAATCTCAGGGTGGGAAATGTGCCTATCTTCAGATTAATGGAGGGGAACTGTTCTGTGTGCACTGCTACTCACTTCTCCCTAGCCGTAGAGTGATGTGCACAGAGTGTTTGGGGAATGTATGTTGATGAAGAGGGTAGCATAGGCAAGAAGTGAGCTTAGAATGAAAACCAAGAGCCTGTGTCTGTCTCTTAAAGCCAAGTTCAGACATGTTTCAGGGTGAACTAAAAGCTTTCTAAAGAAACCGAGGACAAACCTGTCGATATATTCTCATGGCCCACTGAGGCAAGTTCAGTAACTACAGCTGACAGTTGCTGTGACCCAGATGTACCTGCTGCCATTGGTGACCAGCCAGGCCATGGGTCTCACCAGTGTCAAAGCTGGGCCCATGCACCTCTGCACTTAACTAGGCACCTTCCTGTTCCCAGAAACCTTCCTCTCTGTCTGTCTCTTTGACAGGTGTCAGCAATGAAAGTCTCCTGAATGAAATAAGGCACACACAGAAAAAGGTGCCACCTTTTACATTTTATTTGGGGCAGTTTTCTTTATTGTGTCTGTGTGCACACCTGTGTCATAGCACATGTGTTGATTAGAGGACAACCTGTGGGGTTACTTTTCTTCTACCATGTGGGTCTGAGAGACCCACTGAGTCCTCTTGCTGGCCCTTGGCATTTTTATTTTGATACCAACTTTGTGAAAATAATCATGGTTCTAAGACTCATTTTTAACCCCTTTCCAGAAGGTCACTGTTTTATTTCAAGGGAACATCTGTGGTCCCTTGGTATATATCAGATCACAGCCTATGGTTTAAAAGTGTAAGAGTGCTGTGGTGACACCCACTTGTGGTCTGGAAAAGCTGATGGGAAGAGTCTGTCACAGCATTTGAGTGACAGGCTAGGGTTGATGTCTAGAAAGTAGCATGCTCTTAGGAAGTGAGGTTCTATAGTCAGGACAAGCAGCTTTCTTGTTATTTATTGAAAAAAAAAAACAACAGTTATTTACTAGAGTAAAAGTAGTTGTAGATTCCTTTACCTAAACCAGCACTTAAAAACAAAATCACTGGACATGCTGGTGTCCACCTTTAATCTCAGCATTTGGGAGGGGGAAGTTGGACTGCTTTTTGTGAAGCTAGCCTGGTCTACATAGCAAATTGGAGGCCAGCCTGGTCTACACAGCAAGTTCCAGGCCACCCAGAGCTACAAACTCAGAGCCAGTCTCAAAAACAAATAAACAAATTAAACACTGCAAAAATTTGGTAAATTGCTAGTTTTTTCATTGCAAATATTATTGTAGGACCCACCAGCTGACTACAGTCACCAGTTAGGAGTGATACCAAAGACACACTGATGTTAGGACCCATCACCTACAGATCTCATTCCCTTAACCTAAGCGTGGTGCATTTCTGGTTCCATGGGCCTCTTGTATGCTACCCCTGACTTATATTCTTTTCCCAGGGCGAACATTTCCAACACATCCATACTTCTCTGCCCAGCTTGGAGCAGGTCAGCTGTCACTTTACAACATTCTGAAGGCCTACTCACTTCTGGACCAGGAAGTTGGATACTGTCAAGGTCTCAGCTTTGTAGCAGGCATTTTGCTTCTTCATATGAGTGAGGAAGAGGCATTCAAGATGCTCAAGTTCCTGATGTTTGACATGGGTCTGCGGAAACAGTATCGGCCGGACATGATTATTTTACAGGTACCAAGCATCCTTTTGACGTAAATAAAAAGATGCTGAAGGTATGTGTCATTCCTCTGTGGGCAGATCTAGGTTCTTGCCCACTGCTGGCTGCTTCTAACTCACTCTGTATTAGGTGTTGCTCTGTGTGCTTCCCATGATGACTCTCGGGATGATGCTATTCATTCACTCAGCTTGTAGACAGGGAAACTGAGGCTCAAATGGGTTATGAAGTTGGTCCAGGGCACAAAGCTAGAGGTTTCTGGGTTTCCTCCTTCCTTCTCTTCCTCCCTTCCTGGAAACTGAGGCTAGAGGTGGAATTTAAGTCCAGGCCTGTCTGGCTGTAAGACCTTCTCTCCTGTCCCTTCCCTTAGCCTCCTATGAGTGTCACTGGTGTCTCTAGCCCTGTGATATGTTTTGTTTTCTGCCTGGGATCTTCTCTCCATCCACTGTAATCTACTGTTCAGCTCTACCATCATGTCCCAGAAGCTTCTCCTGCCTGTGCTGACACTGGGTCCCTCACTTCCATTCTTGACAGACAGACCATTTTGTGCTATCTTGTCTCATGCTTTCAGCACAACACATTTCCGGCCATATATCACCCTAGTTGTCCACTTCCTACCTTTTCATGTCCTGATATTTCCTTACTGAGAGAAGATTTTGTTGAGTTATACCCCTAGCTGCTAGCAGTTCCTGGAATGGAACAGAAACCCTGTCAGTATTTGATTTATAAACAAGTTCATCAAAACAAAAGCAAGCTGGGATTGGTGCTATAAGCCCACTTTTAGGAGGCTGAGGCAGAAGAATTCATAGTTGTAGGCTGCCCTGGCCTATACAGTGAATTCAGCCTTTGTGTGAGCTCCATAGTGAGGCCCTGTCTCAAAAACAAGCAAACAGAGAAGTCTAGGGATATAGCACAGTGATTGAGTGTTTTCCCAACACATGGTGAAGTCCTGGGTTCTAGCCCCAGCTTCCAGGCAGGGAGGGAGAAGGAAAAGGAAGGAGGAAGACCAGACACAACAGTGTACTCAGCTTGTCAAGCACTGTGCTCACTGCTTTCCAGCGGTGGAGAAAGCTCTGGGCCCTGATCTGGGAGTGTCCATAGCATTGCTTAACTGTTCATCTGTTCATTTCCCAGCAGGATTCTGTAACTTCTGGGCTTTAGACTGTAGCATTAGAGCTAAGGACCTTGTTTGAAAATACCAGTATGCGTTACTAAAAGTTCATTTGGTTGGTTCTTCCTATAAGTTTGAACTATATGAACATGAGTCTCACAGAGGAAAGCCAGTCACTGTAAGACTTGGCTCTCTCCCTGCCTCTAGACTCTGAGAGCTCAGGGGAAGTGGACTGTTGAGCATAGACAATGGTCTCACTCTCTGGAACCATGACGAAGGGGGCCTTGGGTCACTTCTAGCAGGAGCTTTTTGTTCCAAATTACCCTTAGTTAGAGTTTTTCTAAGAATGCTAGGGAATTTTTTAGATGTTTCCACAGGCAGACATTTAGGATCTTGTAGCACTGCTCTAGGGATGTAGCACAGTGGTTGAATGTTTTCCCAATACATGGTGAAGTCCTGGGTTATAGACCCAGCTTCCAGGCAGGGAGAGAAGAAGAGAAGGAAGGAGGAAGACCAGACACAACAGTGTACTCAGCTTGTGGTCAGCCAATGGAAGTGGAAGCAGACCCAGCATTAGCGCTCTAGGCTTCTACTGACTAATGGGAGCCTGTTCCCCAGAAGCTCCGGTTGGATGCATTAGGTCCTAAGCCAAATAGAAAATCAACACGGCTAAAGTCCCCTCCACCTCATCAGATGAGTAAGTCTATACACATAGAAGGTACATAGTTCCCAGCCCCTGTGCATGTGTATTCTTACAGATCCAGATGTGTGTTCTTACAGATCCAGATGTACCAGTTGTCACGGCTCCTCCATGATTACCACAGAGACCTCTACAACCACCTGGAAGAGCACGAGATTGGCCCCAGCCTCTACGCAGCTCCCTGGTTTCTCACCGTCTTCGCCTCCCAGTTCCCACTTGGCTTTGTAGCCAGAGTCTTTGGTGAGCTTCCTCCGTCTGTCTGCCAGCCAGCATTCTCCTGTCGTGAGGCAGCATTATTGCTACCCTATGGTAGTTTGCTTGCTTTTTATAGCTATCTAGTCAGGCTTGGTATGGAGACTTTCAAGTCCTGGGTAACTTTTGATAACCCTGGCCTGGCCGAGGAGTCCTCATCTCGTGAGTGTAGGTCAAGTCCTGCACACAGGCCCCTCCCATTAGCCACCTCGCCTACTTTCAAACACATTTAATAGCACACTTTTAAAGATTTATTTTAGAACCTGAGAAGACATTTGTGTGTGCTCACGTGCATGTGCATTTATGAATACTCATGGATATGGTAGCCAGGGGATGATACCAGGTATCTTCCATTATCCCTCTCTCCACCTTCTGTTTTGAGACAGTGTCTCTCATTTATTGGCTGGCCAGTAAGCCCCAGAGAATCTCCTGTCTCTACCCCTCCAGACTGGGCACATATATATAGGCTTGCACCGTGATACCCAGTTTTCATGTGGGTACTGGGGTTTCAAACCATCTCCTCCTGCTTATGGCAGTGCTTACCGTCTCTCCAGCCCCGTGGGGAGCATCTTAAGTCACTGACTGCAAACACTGGTCGTACCCTAGTTTAGATAGACTTTGACTAGACATGACGCTAAACTCTAAAAATGCTAAAACTTTCTTTTTGCTTTTGTGTATATGTGTGTGCCTGTGTGAGTGTATGCCATGTGTATGTTAATGTCCAAGAGGCCAGAAGAGTGCTGTATCCTTTGGAACTGGAATTAAAGGTAGTGTGAGCTGCCTGACATGGGGTGCTAGGAATTGAACTTGTATCCTCTGGAAAAGCAGAAAACGCTCTTAACCTCTGAGCCGTCTATCTACCCTGAACACTTGTCTTTGAGTGAGCGTTGGCTTCCTTTCCCTCCTCTCCCAGCAGAGTGCTTCTGTCTGTCCACTGGAACCTTTGAAGACCCTTCTCTGGGACAGGAATCTGTATTTTCAAAATGTTGTGACCCTCTTTTGCATAACTCTCCCCAGATTGAATTACTTCAGTAAGCTAGAGAGTAAAAGTTACCTTATGGTTACGCAAATTGTGAGATTTTATGACATTTAGACCATAGGTAATAAAAATAAAAACCTTGGGCCAGGTGTGATGGGTCACGCCTTTAATCCCAGCACTCAGGAGGCAGAGGCAGGCAGCTCACTATGAGTTCGAGGCCAGCCTGCTCTACAAAGCAAGTTCCAAGACAGCCAGCTCTGTAATACAGAGACACCTGTCTCAAAAGAACAAAAAAATAAAAGCCTCAATACTGGGTGCTTGCTCGACTGACAAAGAAGTTACAGGATATATCTCTAGCTGTGGGGTTCAGTCTTTCTTGTCAGTAACTTCTGAGTTTTTGTTTCCTGTACCTTGGAAATGGGGAGAAAAAAATGCCCCCCCCTCCACCCCCAGTACTCTTAATCTTTTCACTCTGTGGGTCATGTGAGGACTAGAACAGCACTGGGCAGGGAGAGCTGGCTGCTGATAGGCTGAAAACAGCTGAGAAGTTGAATTTCATGGTTTGTGGGGAAACTCTGCCAAGGGGGCTGCACTGATCACAGCTACCAGGGATGAGTGGCACCCCTGCCTGGGCCAAATGGAGCTGCCCCCTGCAGGGCAAGTGCTGGGCTCTGGGAGAGCAATCTTATGAGGCCCTGTAAGCTGCTGAAGGACGTGGGAAAACAAGCAGCCTCCTCCCTGGAGAGGACAGCCTGTCTGCCGCAGAATCACTTCTGCAGAGCTCGGTGCAACACGTTCTCGTGACTTATTCTAATAATAAAAGCTGAAACCAGTTCAGACAGGATGTTTTTCTCTGAAGGAGTGATGAGTCTTCCAGTTTTATACACAGTGTGCCTAAAGATGCCAATGTCTGCAAAATTCCTGGATCCCACAGCTCCCTGCTGAACTAGTGGGTCCTGTCTAACAAAGACTCCTGGGAGTACAGGCAGGAAGCAGGGGTCCACAGAAGGCTTTGTGCTGTGATGTCACCAGGTACTTTTGCATAGCCCCTCTCAGCAGGTTCCACTGGAAAAGTGGATTTTTCCAGCTGTTGTCCTTGGTGGTGACTAAGCCCGCTTGTTGAGCTCCGTGTTGTGTGTAGTCTAGTTGCGTGCTCTTGCCAGTCAGGCTCTTAGACATTTCTGACCTGGACTTTTTTCATCATTAGCCTTTAAATTCAGATAAATTCTAAAGCAAATGGGCCTTTGTCGACAATTCTCTGTTTTATACACAAATAGATGATTGCCGGTTTGCAGAGTCAAGGAGATGACCCAGCAGCTAAGGGTTTTGTTGCCCGGCCATGGTGGAACCAATCTGAGTTCAGTCCCAACATGAGTGCGGTCCCTAGAACCCACATAGTGGAAGGAGAGAACTGACTCCTGCAAGTCGTCCCTGACCTTCCGAGGAGTGCCATGGCACATGTACAAATACAATCAGTCAACCAATCAATCAATCAATGAGTGCAAAGAGATTCCCAGCATGCACCAACACAGCTCCCATGTCAATTAATCGGTCACCACCAAAGAAGGACATGCTACTTGAGAGACAGCCTCTGTCAATGTGTATGTCATGACCCCATGTGATCACACTGAGTACCACACGGTCTGTGTATTTCTAGTTTGAAAGGAGCAGGGACCTTGGAGAAAACACTTCCCCTGGTGCTGAAAAGATGGTTCAGAGGTTAGGAGCACATAAGAGGACCCAAGTTCAGTTCCCAGCTCCTGCACAGGCAGCTCACAACGCCGATAATTCTATTTCCAGGGGGTCGTTTGGCCTTCACCATCACCTGCACATACATGCACATACCTACACACAAGCACAAAGTGAAATAACTCTTTGTTTTTCTTTTAAAGAAAGAAAACAAATGCTTACTGTCTTCACCTTCTGACCACATCTACCTTTGGAAAACTAGGAGCTGGCTTTCCTGCTGGAGGAGTCAGGCTGCAGGGCTCCTGGTGTCCATCTGTGGAGTGCCCTGCTGGGGAGATTAAAACGAAGGAGAGCATAAGACTAAGGGTTTGACACAACACAGAAGCTTTAGAATGAAAATGGAGTAAGAAGTGAGGGTTGTCCTACCATGGCCAGGGAACCATTGGTCTGTAAGCAATGTAACATAGGGACAGCAGAGTCCACTTGAACAGTGGCTGTCACATTGTGATAGAAGGTGGAGGCTCCACAACAATGGGATTGCAGCCTCCTAGGAGGACGTTAACGGGAGGAAAGGGTTCCTAAGACAGTCAGGTGGCTGGAAAGAGATGCCATATGAGGTCACCAAGGGAAAGAGCACAGACCCAGGGCTGTGGCGATGTCGTCAAGGGAAAGTAGTTTTGTGTGCTGCTGTCAGCAAGTAACATGCAATGTGGGATCAGCTGCACCTCAGGTTCTTTCCACTTGCTGCCTGTTTCTGAATGGGCTTGAAAATGCAGAGAAGAAAGGGGAGTCCAGAAGGAAGGAAGTGGGCAGCCATGCCATGACTCAGCTGCAGGGCACTGCAGGACCTCCCACCCAGCCAGCAGCCACTTGCCGTCAGTGGCTTTCCCATGCAAGGCGTTAGCATGCTTTCTCAGGGACAGTTACTGGTGTTTGTGATTAATCCCCGAAGCTCCAGCAGGCCTGATGCCTTCTTCTGGCCTTTGCATGGACACACGCACACACACATAAATAAAAATAAATCCTGTAGCACCATTCTCCATTTTCTCACCCGCCCTGACCCTGAGCAGGTGTGGTGTTTGCTAGCTGAGGTCTTACTGTGTGGTGGTAAGCTGCAGGCTGCACTTGGTACCCCCATTTCCCGGCACAGGCCATCCCAATGATACCAAGGCCATTCAGATGGTCTGTGACTTGGTGAGTTCCATCATAACCTGAGAGCTAGCCTGCTGAGTAGCATACAGATTGGCCACCCTGCCCGCTGTGTACCGGTGTCCAGGCTTTATGTTTCAGGTGGGAACAGCTTTTTTACATGCTGTCATTGTGACCCACGTGGAGAAGTATCTTGGGGACTCTCCCTCTGGAGTGCTTTGGTTTGCCTTGATTTCTGTGGTTGGACAGTTGCATCTCTTATCTTTTTTCCATTATGCATCAGCCAAGGGTAGGGTAGGGATATCAAAGAAGAAGAAAAAATGAGATTAATTGGCCTTAGCTATATTTATACTTAGTACATTTATATTTATTGTTTTAAACCTTTTTCTTATTTGTTTGTTTTTTACACTTTATTCCAGTTACTAGGTCAAACTTGCCTGAATCAGGTCACCCAATAATCAGCTCTCGTCTCTGTGTTTTAGCCCCAGGACACTGGTCCTTATTCTGTAATGACTCCAGTTCCAGGAGAACAGGGGAGATGGTGAGGACCACTGCTCAGCCTGTTGCCTTGTGCGATGGCCTGCCTCATCCTCCTGTGTAAACTCAGGATAGGAATTTCTGTGGTTAGCCAAACACCGGGAGAAAACACAAGAACTGGAAAGTAGCCTCACCAACTTGAAACTCCTCAGACAGAAGAATGGTTCTTGCCTCCGTGATTATGATGAAGTTCAGTGTGCTTTTAAAATTTTGTAGGCCTCTTAAAGGCTTTGGGCATCTTTTCATTCCATCTTTTATTTCAAAATATAATTCCCCATCTGTAAGAGTCTTTAGGCTTTACTAATTGAAAACATGTGTTAGTGACTGGAGAGAGGTGGCTTAGAGGTTAAAAGTTGTTGTTATGCAATCATGATGGCTGGAGTGTGCATCTGGGCCTCCCATGCTTGCCTGTAGCCCAGGCCTGAGTGGGACTGAGACAGGAGAATCTCTGCCGAACGCTGGCTCCAGCCCAGTCAGGAAAACATGAGCCTTGGGTTTGGGGAGAAACCCTTCCTCAAAGGAATATGTGGAGAGTAAAAGAAGGCCACCATTTCTGGCCTCCACTCATGCTCACAGGTGTATAGATATGCACACACAAATAAGGCTGTTTTGTAAAACATTTTTAAATCTAGATCATTTATGGAAAAAACCATAAGCTATTAAAACTTTGTTTAACCTTTGAAGCTCTTTTGAGTTTAATTGATTTTTTCAGAGTAAAAAAAACCTTTTATCAGAACCTGTGATAATACCTAAGCCATTTGTTGTTTTTTAACTATTCTCATTTGCAGTATTGCCTTGACAACTGTCTGAAGTAACAAGCTCTTAAAGGAAACAAAATTTGTAGCTTGGGCTTTTATTTCCCACCCTTCTGCTCCATGATGCAAGGAAGAGAGAACACACTGGTATTTAGCTAGGAACTGGCAGGGTTTAACTCTGCATTTCTGTGTCTTCCTAGATATGATCTTCCTTCAGGGATCAGAGGTCATATTTAAAGTAGCTTTAAGTCTTTTGGGGAGCCATAAGCCCTTGATTCTGCAGCATGAGAACCTGGAAACCATAGTGGACTTCATAAAGAACACACTCCCCAACCTGGGCTTGGTGCAGATGGAGAAGACCATCAGTCAGGTATGGACACTGGGTTTTCCAGATGCTTGCTGAGGTCTGGTGTGTCATCTGAAAAGGAACTGCTTCTCACCACTTTGTCCTCCAGGTGGCATCTTGTTCGATGCCTGGTATATGGAAGACACATATGATATGTATCAAAAGATAAAATATATGACTGGGCCTGTATGTTGTGTGTATGAATGGCAAAAGGCACTAGGAAGCCAGGTATGATCGCATGCACAAGTTATCAGTAATTTATTACAGTAAGAGGCTTCCATTCTTACCATGGTTTTTCTGAAATTCATATATTTGTAGGGTACAGGATTGTGTTAAAATGAATGCTTTGGTTTTTCCTCTCAGTGGTACTAATTTCAATGTTCAGAAAATGACTTTTCTGTGTAATCAGGAGACTAATTTCATCAATATGCTATGTGTCTTTTCTTTTGCTGTTCTATTATTACTGTGGTTGGCAGGTTTTGGCATCTCTAGTTTCCAAATACAATATCACCATTACTCTGAAATGGCGAATGTTTTAGGTAATTTAGCTGGGAGTTACAACTACAGTGGATGATCATGAGTGGTTTGAGTTAGGTGTGGAAGCCAATTTTGGTTTTGTAGAATGGAGACTTTTACAGTAAAAATTGCTAATGATAAAAGATCAAGATATTTAGAGGGGAGGGTGGCCACGAAAAGTGTCCAGAGGCCGTATAGCTGAGAGAAACAGAACCAATAGATCAATAATTATAAGTCAGGGAATATTAAATGGACTTGCATGATTGGAGACTAGGTAGTTTGCCATCTGTATACCATTGAGCCAGAGACTCTATTAGCTGTTCAGTTCATGAAACCAGAAGTCTCAGGGAAACAGTGATGCAGCCATAATCCACAGCTGGGTCTGGAGCCTCCTGGAGATTTGTGGGTTGAAGGCTGAAGGAGCTAGAGTCTTGTGTCTGTAGTTGGTGGCAGCCACAACAGCTCTACTTGCCCAGGAGGAATGGAACTTGGCTTACTTACTGACAGCAGCTTCCTCCTCTTTCCTCCTCCTCTTTCTCCTCTTCTTCCTCCTCCTCCTCTTTCTTTTCTTCCTCCTCTTCCTCCTCCTCTTCTTTTTCTTCTTTCTTTTTTCTGTCTACCTTGGAATTCACTCTGTAGACCAGGCTGGTGTCATCACAGAGATCAGCTTGCCTCTGACTCCTGAGTCCTAGGCTTAAACGCTTTTTTGTGACTGGGCCCCCAGCCTGTTGGATGGCACGGCTCACGTTCAGGACAAGGCTTTCTTCCTGAGCTGTTCTGCCATACATCAGTCATCTCCAGAAAATGCCTTCACGGATACACTGACACACAAGAGCCTTGCTTTACCAGTCACCTAGCATCTCTCAATCTAGGCACAGTGACAAGCAAAAGTAACTGTCACACAGAGAATGTACTGGAAGATGTCCTCATTGAATCCCACAGCCGAGTCATCGGTAGTTGGCTCTCCTGAGTAGAGCATGTTCTACAGATAAAAATCTAGAGAAATCATTTAAAGACAGATGGTGAAATACAGCTTTTTTTAACTAAATACTTTTTTTTCTTTAAGCAAGTCCTTATTTAAGGTGTTCTGATCATTCACCAGATAGCTCAGGGCAATGCAGTTAGTCCAGTGCATTGCAGCCAAATGCATCCTCTACAACTCTTGGCTCTTCTACTGTAGAGATTAAATTCTGGGGGCCGGGGTAGGGAGGATTCAAATCTGGCCTGGGCAAAGGGGGAGGGAATCCTGTCACTTGTGAGGGTGACCATGTATCTCAGCACAGTGCACATGCCAGTGGTGAGGAGTTCTTGTCTACTGTGCACTTACCTCTGGCAAACTGATTGACTCCAGGTCTTACCTGCCTGGTCCCATTGCTCAGTATGGACTGATTCAGCTTGAGTCCTTACTTTTGGCTAGGTCCTAAAGAATCTATATACACATGACTTCATGCAGTCACGAGCACATTCCTGAGGACAGTGGTTAATTAGCTGGCCCACACTCACTGTGCAGCAGAGGAGAGAGGTGAGGTCTCAAATGCATTGCATGTCAGAGTGCTTCAGCATCTCTCCACACTACCTACCTCAGGATCTTACCTGCATCTTACTGTAGGATAAACTCCTGATTCTCTTCGTTTCTGATGTTTGCACGCCTTTACTCTCTTCTTACCGTATTTGTTGACTATACTTAACATCTCACAGTTTCTAGAGTAAACCCAGAGTCTTGGCTCCTGACATTGAGTCTGTGTCCCATGAGTGCTGATGTCTAGCCTTGTTCCAGCTCCAGAGCACGTCACTGGTCTACCTCCTGAGTAACCAACCTCAGAGAAGGGGCTGGGGACAGGTGTATCTTTTCCTCCACTTTTTCTTTGAAGAATTGTACTTAATGAGCACTCTAGCATGCATCAGGTACCCTTTGGAATATTGGAATATTCAATATTGGAAGCTGCTTAGGATGCCCCAGCATGGGAAGACAGAGTTCTGGGTCTGTATCTGGGTTGGTTTGGACAACCTCTATGAACTTGGCATGCAGTACTCTCTGACTCCTTAGCAGATTTATGTCGTGGCTTTCCTGTCTCCATTTTCAATGAAGTTAGCCAGGCCCAGCGCCCATATTGCACTGGCAAGGCCTATAATATGGGGGGGAAACATGAGGGCCTGGATCTTGAGTGTTGGAGCTGACATAGTTGCATCCATATGTGCACAGAAGAATGAGATAATGCTGGATGGCCAGCGTTTTGTGTGGAGGCTCGGGAAGTGGTGCTTTAGGTTTTCAGCTTTTAGGAGGCTCAGAAAGGTTCTGCTGCAGCTACCTGGCCCTGCCTTTGCAGCCAGTAAAGGGATGAAACAGCCATGATACAGTAAAACATTATTTAAAAAAAAAAAAAAAAAAAAAAAAAACAAGACAAGAAAACAGGCTGTAATTTGCTGAGCCATGTGCCAGAGCGGAGGAGAAGGAATACACGGAGTGGTTTCAGTGCCAGCTGTGTTCAGCATTGTGGTGAGGTAGTGAGGGTCTGCGCTGCGTGAAAGCGACATTTGGAGCCCAGAGTTTCATTCCAGAAAGTCTGGATAGGAAACAGGTAAGGGTGCAGGCGGCTCTGCTCCCCTTCTTACTCATGTCTCAGTATGGAACCTGACCTCTGAGAACTCGGCTTTCTGTCTCAGGCTTGAACCGACACTAGAGAGCAAGCCCGGGATGTACAGCATGACTCCTCAGAAGCTTGAAAAACCCCAGCTCAAACCCGGGAAGTTCTCAGGGCGGCAGAGCTTGCAGCCCTGTGCATAGACAGCCTATGGTGGAGGGCAGTCCTCTCTGACAGTGTAACCCCATTTCATTCGATGCTCTCTATAGACTATGTAAGCAGCTGGAACCCAGCCAGGCTCCTGGTTGAGAGTGTCTGGTACAGAGTTCCAGAGCCCTGGCTTAGATGGGTCATGCTGGGAGCAGCAGCAGAGGTATTTCCAAGGGTGAGTGTCTAGACAGAAGACATAGGGTCTCGAGCCACTAGCCTTCGTCTGTGTAGCCTTGTGCTCACCACAGTTGTTATAGTAAACCATGAGCACCTTAAGAGGGCCCTCTGGGAATTCTGAGCACTAACAGAGTTCTAGTCCTCTTACAGCGAGGGCCCTGGTTCAATAAACAGCAGGAAGAGTCACAGAGCTGCTCTGAGAGGCAGACCTCCAGCCTCTCGCATCGTGGTTTAGTCTTTGTACTGCAGTTTCAGACTGGTACTGTCAAGTCACATAAGAACTTGTTAGGAAGGTGGAATTGGGGGCTCCACCCAGACCTGCTGACTCAAGAATCTACAGGACCATGCGGAAGCTATGCCGTGAACAGCATTATTAAAAGAAGTCTCTGCTGTGCTTGACCTTGTGGGATAGAAACCAGTCTTCACAAAGCTGTGTTCACAGGAGGCTACAGCAGCACAGTGGTCTCTTGTGCCCTTTCAGGAGGCACTACACTGGTTGAAAAGAGTAGTTTGTAAAAGGACAGTCAATAGTGCCACACACACCAAGAGGGTGAAGTGCCTTGGGGGAGAATCGTTTTACCACTGCCACATGTAATGATAATTAAAATCAGATTGACTTTCAGTTAGCTTTATTATTGTTTTTACAGTTACTATTGGTGGGGTGCCCCTTGTTGTGGATACCCAGACAGACTGCTCCCACTGCCTTAATAGCCACTGAGACTAACAGATTGGGGGAAAGGTCTAAGAGTTAAGAAAGTTAAAAGTATGTGGCTAATTTTACAAGCCACTAGTAAGTGCCTTCATTATACCATGTCCAGAGACTGCAAAGTGAAACCCTGAGTCTTCAATAGCAAGTGAGCCAAAAACATAAACATACAAGTAGAGCCATCTAGCAGACACAGATCTGGGGACGTATTTAGCTTCATTTATAATTTAAATTTCTGTATAGCATATAACGTGCTAGATTAACAAGCCATCTTTTTAATGCCAGTATGCAGTGCCAAGGGCATGCAGCATCTAGCACATTAGTGCATGCTGGTGGCATCTGTCTAGATTGTCCCTCCTGGGAAGTGGTTTGGCAATAAGCACAAGCTAGTAAACCATTCAGATCCTCTGGTGCCATAATCCCAGCTATTGGGAATGCATCCTTAGGAGCTGGCCCCAAACACAGGGAAAGCCTATGTATAAGGAAATTCTCTCAGAGTTATGCTTGTAATAACAAAACCTTGGAAACATCAAGATGGCCAACATTTGCTGAATGGTCTGATATGTTTACGGTATGCTGAGCTGGTGGTGAGTCATGAAGCCATTAATACTGATGGTTCAGGGACATAGTGACACACAAGAAAGCCCTTAGAACATAAAATTAAGAGAAAAAAGTGAGTAGGCTAGGAGATTTGATGTTAGTTGTGTTTACTAGAAAACTACGCTTAGAACACTGAAGATGAAAGGAAATATAAAGATGACGAAGCAGTACTGGAGATTTTGCTTTCCATGCTTCCTGCCTGTAGCTTTATTGCTTCAGTAATAAAATTGACAGGATGTCTTTTTGACAAAAACTGAGCATAAGGAAATGAATAATTCCTGCTTTGACAAGCAGAAGAAAATGTTCTTTTCAGCACCAAAACTCTGGCACTATGGAGAGATGGCGAGGCAGCAGAGGGGAAGGCTCGAGGCCCCCGGTGTTGAATTCAAGTGGAATTCAAGATGGAACCAGACGAAAGAAGACTAGGGCTGCTCCTTGTGGACTGTGGAGTGACCATGCTCAGGGCATGGGTTTTAGAAGGCTCAGAGGTGGAAGAGCTGTGCTAGTTGAAGATGTGAACCCCTCCCAAAGCACGTTGACTTTTCCCATCAGCACCTGGTATCTAAGACTCCTGTCTTCAATTCATTGATTGTGCTTCTCTGAGGTGCCACTGTGGACCTTCCTGCATCAGTCGGTCACTCGTGCCCTGTAAGTCCAGAAGAACAAGGCCCTTACTGCCATCCCTTTATTCTTCAGTCCCTTGGCCAAGCCAAGCCCGAGAGTTGTACATGCTACTCAAGGAATAGGGCTCTTGCCCCACCAGACAGACTGCTGTGGGTTTGGACCATTTCTGGGGCACAACTGCAGTCACGGACTGTGTTCTGAACAGCCAGACAATGCTGCAATTACACCAAGACAATGAGAACCCAGGGTATTTATTAAGAATTCATGTGCACACAGTCTGTGGTCTAGCTTAACCTTAACATGTCATCATGAGTCTGTAGAAAAGGCCAGACGCTTTGTTGCCAAGTTTCCCAGGATAGGAAATGATCTTTAAACGCAGTGTGGTTTTTCCATCCTCAGAATTACACAGGAGTGGTTTCATGGCAGTGGTCTTGTCCTGCTCAGACTTTCAGAAACCCCACGGTGCACTTCCATTGAAATTCTGTTGAGATGTGAGGTTAAAGAGCTTTCCAGGCATGCGCTGGGACTTTTTGTGAGCTGTATCCCTTCATCCCCAGCTCAGTGCTGGGAAGTAGATGTTACTCCCATGTAGGAGGCCAGGAACTGCAACCAGGGGAGATTGAGTGAGTTGCTTGGAGTCACTCAAAGAGATCCCCAGTGTTAAAGCTGACTCACAGTGAGCCAGTCACCAGGAATGTGAAGTGCAGTAGTCCACACTGAGCCGTCCGTCACTCCCAGGAACAAAAGAAAATCAGGTCGATGAAGGTAGCGCGTGACTTAGTATTCACATAGACTAACTTTTGAATCTACTTAGTATTAATCATGGAGTTAACCTGAAAACTAGGAAGCCAAATTATTACTATCATCATCATCATCATCATTGTCATCTCTCAGCTTGAAAAGTAAGGCAACTGGGAATGGCAAGAACGTGGAGGACAGTTTTGGTGCTTGTAGGGGACCCTCGGGGAAAGCCCCACCACTGGGAAGGGTATTTGCTGCATTAATTAGGAAATGCAGGTAGAGAGTAGCTTCTGCCCTTCAGAAGCCGTGACTTCATCCTCAGAAGAATGTTCTAGACAGCTGTAGCAGCCAGACCACCTTGAGAGTTGTGATGGTTATTGTTGACTGTCAACTTGACAAGACAGAATCACCCAGAGGGCAAACCTTAGGATTTGTCTAAGGCTGTTTCCATATTTGGCTAATTAAAATGAGAAAATTTGCCCTAAATGTGAACAGCACTATCCCAGGAGCTGGGGTCCAAGCTGAACAGAAAGGAGACAGTAGCTGACTGTCTGCACTCCTCGGCTACCTGGCTGTGGATGCACTGTGCCCAGCCACCTCAGGCTCCAGCCACTTCAGGCTCCCCACCACTTGAACTGAGCCAAAATAAACCTTTTGTTGTTTGTTACTTTCATTGAACATTTTGTCCAGCAATGGGAAGAGTAGCTGCTATGGGCCTCTGCTGAGGGCGTCAGCCTGCAGGCTTCTCTTACTACAGAGAAGGGGTTGCACTGAGCAGCAGCAGCCTGTCTCAGGCCGACACACTACAGCCCTGCTGCTTCCTCCTCAGGAGAAAGTACAGACATTGCCCTCGTGGGTGGCTTCTGCACTTTGGGCTTGTTTCACACGTGTGACTCTGTCATCACTGTTCCTGTTACAGGAAGAGAGACGACTTGGGCATTGTTTTGTGTTCACTCATCCATGTGTGGGTGACAGTTAGAGTTGGCTCATTTCTGCAGATCTGTGTCAAGAGGACTTTTTCTGTAAACAGTCCTGTTACTTTGTCATTCATGCAACTCTGAAAAACCCAACTGAATCGTAACTAAACGTGGTGACTCTGCAAATAGAACATGAGTCTTTTGACACTTTGCACCTATAGTCAGCGTATTTCCTAGAACTTGCGAGAAAGCATCTAAGAACTACATTTTTAAAAGTCTGTGCCGCCTGAGTGCTTAGTGCCTATGAAGGCCAGAAGAGGGCATCAGCTCCCCTGGGAACTGGAGTTACAGCTACGAGCCACCAAATGGGTGCTGAAACTTAGACCTGAATCCTCTACAAGAGCTTTTAACTGCTGAACTGTCTCTCTAGCCCTGTGAAGGTCTTTTTTAAAAGCTCTTTTGGGCCTTTTAGACAGAGTGTTAGAACTATACGTACTCTTTTCCTTAGGGATTATCTCTAGGTGTTTGTTATATCCTCTCCATGTCGAAGCATTGACCTTCTCATCTCTCCTGTGTGTTAGCACACACGATGCTAAGCACGCAGGAATGGTGCACACACATTGGTGTGAGCGTGAGCACAGGAACCTGTGCCTGGGGGAGGCGTGGCTTAGTTTCTGAGCCTGATGAGTTCTCTATCCAACAGGTGTTTGAGATGGACATCGCCAAACAGCTTCAAGCCTATGAGGTTGAGTACCATGTGCTCCAAGAAGAACTTATTGATTCCTCTCCTCTCAGTGACAACCAAAGAATGGATAAATTGGAGAAAACCAACAGCAGCTTGCGCAAACAGAACCTTGACCTCCTGGAACAATTGCAGGTAGAGCGTATTTGCAAAGCCGCTTCCTGAGCCTCTGTGTATAGTAGCTCATTAACTCACCAAAGGCAACAGCAGCCTGGGCTTTCCCATGACCGGAGGACCTTTCCCACCCTGCGCTCTTTGTAGTTGTGATCAGAGGTGTCCCAGGAGAATCAGCCCTTTTATTGTGGAACAGACAGAATGTCCTTGCCACGGTCAGAAAGTCCAGGAGCTTTCTGAGAGGCTTTTTCTACACTTAACTTTGCAGGAGACCAGCTCGGTCCCAGATGCTGAATGCCAACAATTGTGCTTTGAATAGTGATGGGAGAGTTTTAAGCTTTCAGTGCCTGGGGTGAAACAGGCTAGGTCCTTGAAGAGATGCTGAAGGAGGGAAGTGACTTAGAAATCTGTCCAATGAAATAAATCAGAACAGATGGTGCTTATTTGTAAGTCTGATACAAATGGGAAGGTTTGCTTATTGAGGGGCACAGTTCTCCCTCTACACCCACCCATTTTAAGTGAGGACACAAAGGTCCATCACTATAAGTAGTCCATGCAGAAGGGAGAGGGAATGAGCCTGATAGGTGTGCAAAAGCCACTGCAGGGTGCGGCTCCTGTCAGTCCAGTGGCACTGAGTAACATGAGTTCTCCTTGTTTAATAGTGTAAATGAGAGACTGTCAGTGTTCAGAAATGTTTTCTCCATCCTTATCCGGTTCTGATCCTTCTCCATAGAAAGCCTCCACGTCCTGAGTTTGTCCATGTTGTGAGAAAGGTGGGCATATGAGTACTCTGCCCCCTCAGATGCCTTCCTCCCAGTAGGACTCAACTGCAGGAGACTCTGGTGGATCCTTACTGCAGTGTGCAAAACTGAAATTGCTTCTCTTGATCATCCTAACTGCCAGGCACATCTGAAGTCACAGATTAATCTGCTTCATCTGTCCTTACTAAAAATATGCCGCTACACTCTTCCCTAAAAGTCTCAGCTGTCACCTGAAGGGAAGTCATAGAGGACAAAGAGCCTGCTCTGTCCCACAAGGGCATACTATGCAGGTCACTTACAGTGACTTCAAGCCAGTAGCAGACCCCTGACATAGACCTTGACGTGAGCACTTCCCACTGAGTTCACGTTTGCATTTTGAAGCATTCAGCTTTCTATGAACAGAAGTATTCCTTAGGCTAATCCTGTGTCCAAGTGGGTAACGCTGGCCCAGCATACATAAGAATGTGTGCAAGCCTATAAGGGTCTGTACAGAAGCAGGAGAGAGAAAGTCATCTGGAAACAGCACACTGTTCACAGATAGTGTCAGGCTATGCTGTCATTCAAAATACAGAACAGTCGCTGGGCGGTGGTGGCGTACGCCTTTAATCCCAGCACTTGGGAGGCAGAGACAGGCGGATCTCTGAGTTCGAGGCCAGCCTGGTCTACAGAGTGAGTTCCAGGACAGCCAGGGCTACACAGAGAAACCCTGTCTCAAAAAAAAAAAAACAGAACATTCATCTGAACTGTGTGGTCTGCTTTTCTTTAAAAGTATAATATATGTGTGTTCTGTGAAAAAAAAAATGTGAAAAACTAAACACTCAAAATATCAGTCGTAGCTGTCGCTGAGGTAAGTGTCTACACCCTATGCTGGCTCCCCAGCATTCCTCTAGTTCTTTCTCCTCACCCAGGACCCTGAGTAAATACACACTTAAGGTTTAGTCTTCTATGACTTCAGTGAGTACTTGCATTCTGCCAGAAAGTTTAAGTCCAAAGGCCTTTTTAACTTTTGTAAGTAGCAGACATTATTTAAAGTACATGTAAATATACATAAAAGAATAGTGATCATAGATTATTGCCAGAAATCATTTGTGACATTTAATAGAGTCTTAAACTATAAACACCAAATTTAGGTTAATGTATGCATGCCATCTACATTAGCAGACTAGAACTAATTTTTTTTTTTTTGGAACTAATTTTTTTTTATTTGAAATGCTATTATATGTTTATTTATTTATAAAATACTTGAGATATTTCTAAAATTTTCTTTGCCTATTATACTTTAATGTCCAGTGTTCAATTAGCACAGTGTTGTTCATTCATTTAAAATCACACATGGAGTAAATATAAAACTAGGTTGTCTCACAAAGAGTTGTCTACAGCAAGAGATGACCCCCTTGAACCTGGTGGTCACGAGCAGTACGTAAGATGGCTTTGTATGCTAGGTGGTGGCAGATAGAAAGGCAGGAGATGCTTCCTACTCATCAGCTAGCTACAAGTAGCTCTTGTAGGGCCTGTGGGGACCAGATCCAGCGATCAGACATGCTCTCTTTACTGTACTAAGGAGACCTGCCCTGTGCGCCATTGGTAAACCATTGTGCAGATAAATTCACTCTAAACCCGTGCAAGCTAGTTAGTACCCCACCCCCACCCCCAGAGCTGCATGGTTCACAGAACACAGAGATGGGCCAGACCTGGACATCGGGTAGAATTTTAAGGATGAGAGGGTCCCACGTAAGGACAGGCACCAGGCATGCTCACTCCTCTGAAGCTGCCGGCCTGTACTTCTTCCTCTCCTTTGATTCAGTATTCTCGTGGAACAGCTGGCGCGAGACTCAGAGTCACAGGTTCTCTGTCTAGCACGAAGGTTGTCTTGTTCAAAAAACCATTTTCCTGCTTTTCAAAATGAGGTGGGAAAATACTACATCTATTTCCCCTAGCTACAACAAATGGACATGCAAAGGGAGGGTAGACTGGATTAATAGGGTAGGCCAGCCCTTAGTGCAGAGTGCTGGAGTGCAGCTGGGAGCTGGAGTAGGCCAGAAAGGCCTGGAATAGAAACTACAGGGCTGGAGCTGCTTCAGGACTCTCAGGGCCCCTCAGGCCACCAGAGCCTGGCATCCCTGAGATGCCTGCCCTAGAAGACAGGAGATAGTAGCTGGAGCTGACAAAGCACCTAAACTTCCACTTCTATGGTCTGCTGTGTACCTTCTCCTAGAGCAAGACTGGGAGCTTGTTCTTTACAAGGTTGTTGGTGGTGAGTGGGCAACGGTACAAAGAAACCTCTCAGCAAAATGCTACTGTTTCCAGCATTCTGTGTATCAAGGGAAATGCCTGGTTTCCATTAGTGATGTCTTACTACTCCACGAAAGATAACAAAACCAGATTTCAGGTTAGAGAGCTATCCCTAATACAAGTGGCATCACGTAGAAGCCACTTGACCATTTGTAAGCCTGAAATTAGTTTGTAGATACAGGGTTAGCTGGAATAGGCTGTGCTGTGTGCTTCCGGTCTGACCCGTCGCAGCATCCTGTGTGTACCCTTCTCCTGGGGTGGAGTTCCCTCTATGTTCTGATGCTGCTTTCTCAATCCCTGGTCCCCAGAGGGACTACACCAGGGCAGAAGATGCCGGAGTTTGTTAGGGTCCACCAGAAGCTGGGGTCTTTCTTCTGTGACCAGAACTGATCATCAGTAGGCTTGTTTGTGCTCCGAAGTCCCCGAAGGCCAAGTGGCGGCATTCACAGCAACCGCCTCTTGTGTAATCAGAGGCAGGCACATTCTCATCTCTTCTTCCATTCTCCAGGTGGCAAATGCTAGGATCCAAAGCCTTGAAGCCACAGTGGAGAAGCTTCTGACCAGCGAGAGTAAGCTGAAGCAGGCTGCGCTGACACTGGAGGTGGAGCGCTCCGCCCTGCTGCAGATGGTGGAGGAGCTGCGGAGGCAAGGTGCCCAGCCCAGCACTCCAGAGCCAGACTGCACCCTGCTGGAACCTACAGGTGACTGACAGCTGCCAGGAGAGACTGCACACCACTAACACTGTCCAGGCCTTTAATCAAGAGAGACGGAAGGCAGAGGCAGAGAAGAGAGAACTTCTCAGGGAGGAAACTGGCTGACCAGCCTGTAGATTCTTTTGAGCTCAGACTTGGAATTGGAGGACAAAAGTCTCAGTTATTGTTGTTTTTGGTTCTAATTCGTCCCCTTTCCAGTCCTGGTTGTTGTAGCTTTAGATGGCATGGACATGAATAAATTACATTTATGGTTCCTCCTCCTGCAGAGACACATTGTGTGAAAAGAGTATTCATGACAGCGGTGTTTCAGAAGCAAGAAGGCCTTGAAATAATTCCCTCAGGCACAAGTGTGACCCTTTGTCAGTCTGCAAGAAGGGTTCCTGTGACCATGCCCTTGGTGTCACCATGAGGTGCAGTGGGCCCTTGTCCATTTTTATTATGGAAACTTGAGGTGACCATGGGGAAGTAAGAAGGGGCTTATTTAAATTGGGCGTATCGGTCGTTCCTGACCCCACAGTCATTCCTGGTGGTACTGAGGAAGTTTATCTTTCACAAACACAGTGTTTTACTATGTTTTTGCTTACCCTTTCAAGTCATATTAAGTAAATGTTTCATAAGGAAATCACAGTTTTTAGATTCCCTGTTATTGCTAGTGTGCAACCTGCAGCTGTGGGGTCTGACATATTTATTTCTTTGTGATTGTTTCATATCCACACTATAGGGTCACGTATTTATTTTTGTCTGTTGATAAATGATGTACCACAGCCACGTCTTCCCTTGAGCCTTGACCCCTTGGAAATCTGATTCCTCATAGAAGGAACAAAACATACCAAGATTTCAAGGGGCTCCTAAGATTCTGAAACACTGTAAAAGAAACCAGGCTGAAATTGCAATCAGATGTATGGCAGCTGACAGCTTTTTGGAGGTGGACGTGTGTTTTGAAAAGTATTCAAACACAAGCACTCCTTCCTTGGGATGGCGGGGACCCTGTGCCTTCAAGCAGAGTGCAGCTCACAGTCACCCTGCTTCCAGCTGGTCCTGTGTAGAGCATCACCCAATGTGTACAACAAACTTTTTTTTTTTAAACATACAAACAAAGGCTTAGGGACGAATCACCAGCACAGGGCCTCCTGAATACTGGAATTGGTCCTGCCCTGTGCTCTCCTGGCCGCCTGTTCATGGAGGTCTGTCTGTTGGAGCTCTCTTGTAGCAAAGGAGCTTGTAAGCCTGGGGTGTAAGGAGAGACCACCACCGCTGGTGTCATTTGGGATCTCCTAGCCCTTTCGAAGGGACACCAAATGGCCAGGGGGGATGTAAGACTCCCTCATGGTCTCAGGTCAAAGAAGAGTTCTCTCCATAAGCCAGCATGACCAGTCCCAGTTGGGTCTAGCAGGGGTGGTTGGAGGGGGCTAACCGTGAACAGCTTCTTTCCACATTGTATTTTATTATTTGAATGTTTTAATGTTGAATTTTGGACATGTTATTACTGTTCAAAAATACTGACTCTACAATAAGAAAAGAGCAATAAAACAGATAATTCACATCTGTGTCTTCGTGCTGTCTGTTTTTCAAACTCTGAGTTTTGTCTTTGCAGCTAGGAGTGAAGGAGGCTTCTGTATTCATGTTGTCTCATGAGCAAGGGCATGTTTGAGAGATCAGTTCTGCTTCCAGTATCAGTGCCCAAATATTGATGATGCTGGGACACCTTTCCACAGAGCTGTGAATATTAGCATCAGTGAAACTGGCTTCCCCCATTGTATCTACACCATCTATCAGTACAAAATTCTATTGGGCCAGAGTAGCATGCATGCATAGGTATAGGTTGTATACCATACAATACCATATACCTATAGTAAACCTATAGATGAACATGGTAACAGATGGTGACCTAGCAACTCTCCAACTACATGTACACTTGGAGGTTGACCTTTGATACTATTTGTCTTGAGTCAGTTCCTTAAGAAGGGCTGATATGTAGAACCTGGTGACAGTCAGATGCAGTCCCTAGGTTTGGTTGCCCCATTTTACATGTAGATAGGAAAGCAGTGCCATTTGGAATTTGGGGAATTGGAAGAAGGACTGCTCTCGTGATTGGAAGACTAGATTTGCTCCTCAGCTGGAGGAGTGAGGAACCAGATGGAGGTGCATGACTCAAGAAGACCCCAGTTGTCTGAGATACAAACCACTGGACCTACAAGGCAGTGTGGAACTGTGTGAGAAGCTGCCATTGCCATAGCAACGAGCAGAGACTCTGTAGCCAGGGATCTGGTGGTAGGCCTCAGGTCTTCCTTCCTTCCTAAAGAAAGGAGCTGGGAGTAAAGCAAAGAAAGGACACTGAAATTACCAACTGCCTCCATTGCCATACTGGACAAGATGGCCTTCAGGGACAACAGGCCTTCACTTTGATCTTCCATTTCTCATAGCAACAGGTCCTAGGGCCTATCTTGATCTAGAACCCTCAGGGTTCTGTGAGAAATTAATTCTGGATTAACCAAGTTGACAATGCAAAGCTACAGAAGTAAATTTGGAATCTATATAATTTGGGTGCAATGATCACATGAATCATTTTACACAGGCCCTTGGTCTAAGTAAATATATTTAGTGACTCCTACCGAGTTTAGGTTATAGACTGATTTCTGCAGATAAAAAGCTGGGAGACTCCTGTTGACACCTGGCACTTCCTACTCTCTCCTTCAGTGTGGTGAAGTAAGTGATGAGCCCCGTGCTCTTAAAGCTAAATGCTGCTGAAAGGATTTGGTGTAACAGAATATTCTTGGACTAGGAAAAATTAGAGGGTCTACTCCTACCTCATTTTGTAAAGAAAATAAGGGGTGAAAAAGATTCAAATGATTGGGTAGAGGGTCAGGGTGTATCCCCAGTCTCCTGTCTGCCTTACAGTGAACACTTCCCAACTTAAATTGTAAGTTACAGTAGATTTTATTTGTAGTTTCCGAGACAGGAGTTCACATAGCCAAGGCTGGCCTTGAAGTAGCTTGAGTGTGACCCTGAACTTGTGGCCTTCACTCCTCGGTGGTGAGATCATTGGCATGTGCCACCACACCAGATTTGGGCAGCGGTGAGCTTTAGAACTCATTTCTGATGGTGTCAGTGTACTACTAGAGAAAATTCTGTTCCCTGTAGACAAGGGAGATCTTCAGCATAAGGAATACAGATGGAGTCAACTCCTGAACTACTTCCTACAGTTATCTATCATAGCTGAGTTAGGATGGGGAAGGAGGTGTTCGAGACGGGGCTCCTCGGTGTGTGCTCCAAGGTAGAAGAGTGCTGCAGTGAGATTCTACCCCATTAGGTGTTTACTGAAGTGATGTGCTTGATACCTGTATCACTGTCCTCTTCCTCTTCCTCCTCCTTCCTCTTTCTCCTCTCCTCTCCCCCTTCCTCCTCTTCTTCTTTTACAAAACTCTTTAAAACTAAATGTTTTCAGAAGAAAATTTTCAACACAAACTTGCCTTTGACTTTAGAGAAAGGAAAGTTTCTACCGAATAGAATGTTTCCTGTTGCCCTGTCTGGAAGTTATTAGTATAATTGGGGAAATACAAGCAAGCTATTCCTTACATGGCTGTCACAAGTCATGTAAACAATTTAAAGCAGATAACAAAACTTTAAAATGGTGTTCTAAGTAGCTAGGAGACATGTAATCAGCTGGTTGTTTCTGCTGTAAGCCTCTAATACTACTATGTGTGTATTTATGAATAACTCATGTGACCAAACAAATTAGAAAATAAGAATTTTGAGTGAAGCAAACAGTTTGTTTAAAAGCTGAGGATTAAATGTGGGTTTTGCAGTAGTGGGGTTTGTACTGGGTTCAAACCCAGGGCTTTGTGCATGCCAGGCAGGTGTTTTGTCACTGGCTGCATTCCCAGCCCTAACCTGTGTTCTTAAGGAGAACAATGAACACTTCGTCATTTTAATCAGATGTCACTTCCCAGTCAGCCTAATTGGTCTAGCTCCCAAACCATCCTTTTCTACAAAGCCCACCCAAATTCTATTTGGGTTCAGCCTGCTTAGCCCTCTGCTCTGGACTGTCAATGCGGGGTGTTGGTGGAAGGTCCTAGTCTTTGGGCTTTGTTTTTACCACTGACACACATGTTCACCTCTGTGCCATGTGTCAGATATGCTTTCGGGGTTGTATTTTTCTTATAGGTTACAAGAAACTCGTGGTTCTGTATCTGAAGTTGGCTTTGTTGTGTAGGGGAGCAGCGCTGTTGGGGGGAGGGGATGAGAGAGGAGAGAAAAGAGTGTCACATCGTGAGTGCTCTGTGTCACACCTGTCTCACCGAGCACCCCTAGTCTCCACATAGTTATTACTGTGGTGCCCTTTCTCAGATGCTGGGCAACCAGACATTGCTATGGATAATCAACCTTATTGCATTGTTTCCAATAGTCTTGCTATGTTCCCTACCCTAGCTTCAAACTGGCGATTCTCCTACCTCAGCCTTGTGAAGAATGAGATTACTGCCTTTCTCCCGTCTGTAGATGTGATGTGACCAGCTGTCTCAAGCTCCTGCCATTGTGACTTTCTTTAAGTGATGGACAACAACCTGGAATTATGAACTCAAATAAATTCCTTGTTCCCTAAGTTGCTTTTTTGTCGGGGTATTTCTCATAGCAGCGGGAATAAAACCAAAACAAAGGTGACTGGTGTAATTGTGGTTCATTGACCTTGGGGCACCCTTGTCTGCATGGGTCATGGTGTTCTTAACAGATATTTCTTTTAATCCTTGTGACCCTCTAAGGGAACCCCAGGAACTTCTCAGGTACATCTCCTGCACTGTTTGTGATTAATCCAATGTCAACTGTACAGCTAAGCATACAATCCCATTGGGCCTTGACATAAGTATTCAGAGCTAAACTAGCAGGCTTCCTGTAAGTCAGTGTGCAGGTATTTGGTTCTAACTTATGACTCATTCTGAAGAGTCCACCTTTAACTTTAGTCCATTTCGTTTGTGATTTTCTTTTTGAGGGACAGGGTCTCACTATATAGCCTGGGCTGGCCTGGTACTCCCTATGTAGCCTAGGCAGACCAAGATTAGTTTGTGGTTTCCCAGTATGTACACTCTCAAGATACTAGGAGCAAAATGAAACCCGGTGCCAGTAACAAAAGGAACAGCCTTAGTTATAAGCAGAGGCCCTGGAGTCAGCTGAAATGAACCCGAGTCCATAAAATGGAAATAAATATTTTGCATGTTTATTGAGCAAGTCTTTGTGGAAAGCACAGATTTCTGAGGCAGAAGGCACATTAGCGAGCAGTGAAAGTTAGCATTGTGTTCTGATACCATAAACCAACTGCATCTAATCTGTGAGCTTGAAATTCCCCTGTAGGGTATAAACATTTAAAATAGGGAATCTTTGAGAATCACTGTTAGGAGTCCCTAAGATCAGTTCATACTGGGCCATCATGTCTGTATGTTTCTGAGTGTGCTCAGCCAAGCATGAGACGGGCTGTAGGAAACCGTCCTTTGATGTCACAGTGCTTTTGATGGCAGCTCTTACAGTAGTAAATCAAGCTTATTAAAACCTCAAGCTCCGCTGCAGACATTGTCCTGTGACTGCTTAAACCAGAAGAACCCTCGATGTTTGTTCTCAGCCTCAATTATGCATTTAAATCTCCCAGCAACTTCCTTTTCTTAAAGACAGGGTCTCATGTAATCCTCTCTGGCTTCGAACTCAATATGTAGCCAAGGTCATGCCATCTTCTTCTCTTCCCCAGTACAGACACAAACTTCTGATTCTCCTGCCTTCAACTTCTCAGCAGTAGGATAACATGTATGCTATGATGCCTAGTTTATACAGTACTGGGGATGGTACCCAGGGCCTCATGCATGCTAGACAAGCACTAGCAACTGAGCTACAGCCCCAGAGAAAACTGGAAAACCCCAGTGCCATGAGGAATGCTAGCTGATAAACCAGACTCCCTGTGATGGGGCACAGTGATTTTAAAGCTAAGATCAGAAACCAGTGCCTTAGTTAATAATGGATTAAGATGAGGGTAAGGGCCCAGGGTTTAATCACATGATCTGAACTTCGATTTATTAAGGATTATTTTATAAGTCCTTAACCAGTTGGATTCATATCTATGTCAGTGACCTAGATGCAGCCCTTGGGACTGTGGCTCTAAGATGCCTCAGATGACATGCAGTGGATGACAGGACATTGAGACTGGTGTTGCCAAGTGCTACAAGTGTCCTAGTTTGAGCAAGATGTACTTGATACATTAGGTTTTTAATTAGAAGGTAGGCAGTGGTGCTAAGTGTAGACTTGCACCAAAGCTACTGCTGTCTGCTTTAAAGTAACTAGCTATGCATCCACTGGCTCTACTCCAGACTGTTGACTTAGGGCTCTAGAGGGCCGAGTTGCATCATGAACAAGTCTTCCAGAGAGAATACTGATGCGTACTAAAGATTTTGAAACCACTGTGTGGAGGGGAGAAGGCCCCTGGACAAGAATAGAATGAGAAGCATGTGGGTTAGTGATGGCAACGGCTGCTAAGAATTGCTGTTTTCGGGCTGGAGAGATGGTTTC